GGATGGTGAGACAGGCCCGCGCGCCTTTGCACATCTGGAAGGGGTGCGAACGTGCCCCAAAGGGGGTTCACATCTGGGGGGCGCTTGGGGCACAGCTCGGGGGGGGCTTTTTCGTGCACAAGGGCCTCCGGGAAGTTCACATCTGGGAGGGTTGGGTGGTCCGGGGGATACGTACGCGTTCGGGCAAACATCTGGAGGGCTCAGGTCACAGCTGGAGGGGTCCCCGGGGTCACAGCTGGGCGCACACCTGAAGGCGCAGGGATGCTTAAGCGCACATCTGGAGAGCCGGGCGGTTTGCAGCCGTGCACATCTGGAGGCACAAGCGGGAGGTAGGCGAGCGCACATCTGGGTGCACATCTGGAGAGCTCGCACGAGCACGCTCCCCACCCCCACCCCCCACCCGGGGCTGTGCTGGGGCCACAGACGGGCGCACATCTGGACCCCCGCGCACATCTGGCTCCGCTCAGCCTCGGCAGCGTCCTCCGGGTTCTCCATATCCCACCGAACCTGCAGCATCCCGGCGCTGCCGGCGACAGCAAAGCTCCTGTCCCGGTGTCTCGGGGGCGATGCATTATTCATCCACCCTTCTCGTAGCCAGGCACGGAGCAAGTAAATAAATATTAATTTAACGGGATCACAAAGCTTTTCCGTTTCTCCTGCTGGGGATGCGGCACCAGGGACTTTTCCCGGTAGGATCACAACAAAACAAAAAAAAAAAAAAAGAAAAAAAAAGAAAAAGGAGAAATAAATTATCCGTAGAATAACGGGTTTAATCCAACTATCATCCGAATAATTCTCCGGGATGGGAATCGAAGGTGATGCTGGAATATTAGACGCCGTGGTATTTCCCCCCCTCCCCCCGCCCTCTCCTTTTGGGTGTCCCCGAAAAGCCGAGCCGTGGGGATGGGGCATCTCCGACCCGGGAATAGGGGATGGAAAGGGGATGTTAATCCCCGGAGAGCTTCTGGGCCTCTTTTCACGGAGTGCTTTGAAGAGAGGAGAGTTTTTTGCGAGCCCCAGGGATTAAAGCACCTCTGGATTCATCCCGCTACGAGGCCTGAGGCTGCGGCGATGGGCTCCCGGGGCTGGCACGCGCGCGTCCGTCGCTGATACCATCCTCCGAGATGGCTTGGGATGGGGAAAGGAGACAAAGGAGCCGCTTCATCCCGACGGATAATCCCCCCCCCCCCCACCC